GGGCAGTGTGTCACATGCAGGGCTGGTCACCAGGTCCTTGAGAATAGTGAGCACAGACTTGCTGACGAAAGGTGGACTGGGCTCGTGTTGAAGACGACGGTGCGAGCGTTTACGTTCTGTCTGGTTTCACTGGTTCAGGTGTCCGAACGCTGGAGGAGATCCATGTCCCTCTTCATCGTTCTTACTCTGAAGTCCATCGACCTGATCCACCTACAGCTGTAGACCTACTTCTGCCCACCCCTGATTCCACCGCTGACTGGTGCAAAGTGCAGGGGGCTCACCCTCGGCTACTGCTCAGACCCACAGCAAACGGGAAGGCCTGAGGACAGACCCGGGGGGCACCAGACATTGGGCTGAATGGAGCCCAGGGTGTCTCACCTGCCCCCCAGGACTGTAGGAGGCCAGTTCTCGAATAAACAGCTGTGCGGGCATTGCCTATGGATTCAGAACCACCACAAAGTCACCCGGGCTCTGCCTGCTCTGGGCTTCAGTCCATGTTTTCTCAGAGCAGCGTGTTAGAAAGGGCAGGAAATCAGGGGGATGGAGCGGGGGCAGGTGAGGGTGTCCTTGTAGTTTCATTTACCTTCAGAGGGCCCCCAAACGTGCTACGGCTAGACCTGGACGTGAAGGCTGTCATTTCACATTTGCGTTTCAGTAGTAGCATGACTTAATAACTACATCTACAAACAGAAGGTTTGTTCTAAGAGATACTTGCCATAAGTGTTTCAGGAAGACATGCACTGGATGCTTTGATGTGTTCTGGGGAAGCCTTGGGGTATCGGAGGAAAGCCACCATATTCGGCAGACGCTGAGAATTCAGGACCAGTACCTCTCGTAGTGGGTTTCTTATTGCCCCTCGTGGACCACACAACACGCAGAGTCACTTGTGCAGGAAACCGGGTTTGGAAGAAAGGTGAGCCAGCTCTGGGCTCAGTGTTAATGAAAATGCCTCAAACATCGGCAGCCCATATAGCAGGATTTTGGGGGGAAAAAGTCAAGTGAGCAGACCAGTCTTGGACCCAAAACACATTTTCTTGAGTTCTCCATAAAAAATGGGCACCTAGGGAGTTTTTCATCATTATTCATGACATGGTCCCATTAGTAGCACAATCCAGAGAGGCTGAGAGCTGTGACCGTCAGCAGAGGAGTGGTTAATTTGCTCTAAGAGACAATTTGCAGTCCACGACCCTGCAATGCCCATTGGTTACCTGGAGCAAGGGTTAATGCAGTGCTCAACGTATTCCAGAGACTTTCTTGTCTCATAAATAATGTCCTGCCACTTCCAGATGGAATACATCATTAAAATCCAAAAGATCTGTACATAAAGAGATTAATCTCCAAACAACATCCTTTAGCTTTCTGGTGGGTGCCCAGCCAGTGCCTTTGGTTGGTAATTCCTTCAGCAAACACAGACATCTCACCTGTCCCTTCCGCGCTGGGTGCCAGGTTCTGGTCAAGCACGTCCCTTTGGGAGGGTGTGAGCATTAGGGACTTCATGTTGACCTTTTCCATGTCAGTAGAAACCCTCACTTGGGGACAGTGATGAAGCGTGTTTGGACGTAGTACTTACCCCTACCACTGTATTAAAATAGCCTTTTTTGAATTGCCTCAGTTTTTAAACTTAAATGATATCCAGGAAATGATGGCTGTTTGGGTAAGATACATTTTTTAAAAGATTTTATTTATTTATCTTTAGAGGGGAAGGGAAGGAGAGAAGGAGTAAAACATCAATGTGTGGTTGCCTCTCGTGAGTCCCCTGACGGGAACTGGCCTGCAACCCAGGCATGTGCCCTGACTGGGAATTGAACCGCAATCATGTGGTTCGCAGGCCCATGCTCAATCCGCTGAGCTACTCCAGCCAGGGCTGGTAAGATACATTTTTAATACACATTAAAATAAACAAAATTTAAAATTTGTAAAAATTCTTATGCACAACAAAAATTCATCTTTTATGTTAAATGTTGGGAAAAAAAACACTGCTCTAGTGTATTTTCTTCCTTTGATAGATAATAGCAAACTTAGAAGTTCACACTAATCTGTAGTTCTTACACCATCAACCAACTGATTTCATTAATCTTCTTCAATTCTTTCAACATACTCATGAAAGATTTGGTCAAAATCTTTCATCCTCTCTTCTGAGTTAAAATTTCTCCGACACCAGAAGCCCATCTAGCAGGCTTTTGGAAAAGTCAAGTGAGCAGACCAATCTCGGACCCAAAACACATTTTCTCCAGTTCTCCATCCAAAGTGGGCACTTATGGAGAGCTAGCTTACCTCCTCCAAATCCTACCAAAAAGTTTGGTCAAGACCACTACGCCTCCATCTAGCCGAGTGTTGTAAAATACAGAAGAGGCTGCACTGGTGTGAGGATTTCTTCAGTAAGTCACCCAGGAGGCATTTGTAAATGTCTTTTCTCATTTCCTGAGAACAGGCTAAGCCCCAGAGAGGAGTGTTCTTAGGATCCGGGTGGGTGCGTAAAGACAAAAAGCAATGGCTGCATTTTTTGACAGCAAGAACTCGGGGGGGAAGGATGGAGAACAAACAGAGGGACACGGCACACTGATTTTCAACACTCCCCTCACTCAGCCTCTCGCTATTCGTCATCTGGGGTACACAGAGTCAGAGCTGCCAACTCTCCGGCACGGTCATCCCTGAATGAGGCAGAGGTCACTCCTGGGCACCCATTGTGGTCCCTTGGCACTCTGCTCAGCGTTATCGGTCACTTTCATAGGTATGTGACATGCCTTGCCCGCTGCAGCAGAATAGGAGCCCACAGGACTGACCCAAGTGCAGATGAATGAGGTTCGGATAAGCAAACTTGGCTCTGAGATGGGTACAGTGTTCTAGCCAGGGCCCCTGGCAGGAGCCTGGGTAGAAGTGCACAGACCCAGTGGGAAATCTCAGCAACGTGGAATCTGGGGAGCAGGGGTGGGGTGAGGGGAGGCTCGGAAGAAGAGAGAGGCAGGCATTGCACCTCAAGGAGGTCTTCAAAGACAGCCACCAAGGCCCTGGAATCCTGGCGAGACTGAGTCAGGACCCAGGCCCTAGGGAACAGCTGTAAAGCACACAGAACAGGAAGAGAAATCAAAGCGGAGACCTGGTAACAAGAATGAGGGCCCATGGGCTAGAAACTGGGCCACAACTGAGAGCAAGGTCATCCGCGTTAGAAGCCGCACCCGGGGTAATCTAACCCAGCGGTGCCGCTGTTGCCAAGCCTGGTCCACGCTGTTCTCAGGAGGCTCCGTTACTTCCTCATTCAGGTTCACACTAACCCAAGGAACGGAGGGTGGTGCCGAGAGTGCAAGTGGGACCCCTTTTCCCCGCTGCGCCCGTCCGAGGGGGATGAGAGCCACACACTTCTCCCAGAGAGAACCGCACACTACATCCATCTGCTCACTGGACCGGAAGCCCCTAAAGGGCAGGAACTATGTCTTCATCTCCATTGAGTTAGACACTCCAGGGGTGCCTAGCAGGGCCAGGCACACGCTCCAGAAGTATTTTTTGAGAAGGGGGAGACACAGCCTCTGCTGGGTGGGCGTTCCGTGAGACTTTCCCAGCCTCAGGGTGGCATCCTCACCCTAAACATTTCTTCCCGTTCACTGATTTTATTCTGTGATACCCAAGCAAACTGCTGATGAAAAGGTTGATTCTCCTGGTTACTTCATACCAGAAGGAAAGCAAATTCAACCACTAGGCAGTGTCATTTTTCTGTCTCATTTACTCTATTGGCATCTGGTTAGTACCTCGGTGACATGGATTTGGTGACTGTCAGGCTCTGGGGTTGGACACAGAGCACATCTGACTTCAGGTCCCCACCCCTGAGATTCAGGTCCTGAAATCTGGGACCTACCCATGGTCTGAGATCTTCTGTCGGGGGAAGAGGAAACTGATGGACCGTAACAGCACCTGGCTGCAGGTCTATTTTACGTTTCCTACTGTGCTGTTCAGTTTCAAAGTTCAGCTCTCAGGTATTCCAACCGCATTCATTATACTCCTTACGTGCCTGGCATACGCTCAGCGTTGGCCCACACACTGGCTCCATCACTGCTGACTCGGACAGAAATTCGGGTTTTTGTCTTCTCTTGAGACATCGAAGAATCTTCCAATATCGGGTCTATTTTACCACGTGGCTGCCCTCGGTGGCTACTGAGCAATGTCCCTGTTTCTTCCCGTCTCTGCTGTCTCCTGACCTGAGACACTTCGTGTCAGCTGATGTGAGTCACTGAGCTTGGACCGTTATTCCTCCAGTAACTTGGAGAGTGAGCTGCCTCGTCCTGTCCCCTCCGACCGTTTAGAGCCCCTGCCTGGTGAGTGCCAGCGTCTGGGTGTGAGAACCCTGCTCTGCTGGGCGGCAGCTCATTTGCCCCCTAGTAACCGCTGCCATTCGCTGGGCCCTTATTGGCTGCCAAGCACTGACCCAACACTTCTCAGACTTAACCTCTTTACTTCCTCTAAAGGCCTATCGAGTACTATGAGCGATTATTTCTGTTTTACCAGGGTGGAAACTGAAGCTCGGAGAGCTGAGGACCTTGCCCAAGATTGTAAAATTTCTCGTCGGTAGCACTGAGACACACACTTAGTCCTGCCTGAGTCCCAAGCTGGGGCTCTAAATGTCTGTAACACATTTCCCTGCGCAGTAATCTTGTAACAATAGGGTTTCTGCTCCCATGCGGTGGTTCTCCCTCCTACCCAGGCCTTGTGGGCCGAATACCAGGAAGAGGGGCCAGCACTGCCCGGCCCTGGCCACAGACCTCGGGGACACCTGTTCCCAGCTACTGTCTGATGGAGGTTCTGCTCTGCTGGCTCTGAGAGCAGGAGAAAGGAGAATAGGAGGTGCTGGGGTCACCGTGACTCTGGGGCAGCAGCCCATTAGTCACTGTCCCCGGCTGTGTGTGCGTGTGCGTTGCTGGGCCACCCTGGGGCTGTCCAACGGTGCTGTCACCTGGGGAAGCTCATATAAAGGGCCCTGGGCTCCAGCCTTGCAGCTCCAGACCGCGGAGATGGAGAGACTGCTGCTGTGGGTTGGTGAGTGTGTCCCTCAGTCCAGGCTTTGCAAGCTTGTCCTTCCTCTGGGCCCCAGGTGGCCTGGACTAGACAGAGGTGGGGCGGGGCCAGAGGGGCTTGCGGAGGAGAGATGAAAGCAGTGGTTCCCTAACCTGGCTGTGCGTGGAACACTCTTAGGTCCCGTTTCCACCTCAGACCAATGAAGTCAGAATCTCTGTGGGCAGGAGCCAGGATATCACTGCTTCTCAGTGTGCAGCCATGTGGGGGACCACTGGCCTAGGGCTTTCGCTGGGGCTTCTGAAAGCTGTGTCGCCTTGCAAACTGCACAGTGCATGCACGTGGGGGTTATCAGAGTGCAAAGGAGCATGGGCAGGCCTGGCTGCACTGACTCAGCTTAGAGACGAGGAAAGGAGTGAACAGGGTGCGTGTCTCCACTGGCTTGTCTGCGTCTGCGATGGTGCTGGGTCGGTGGGTCCCCAGAGGGCTGGGGGGTGTGCTGGGGCTTGTCACCCACTCCGGGCACATGCTGCATTTGTGAGTGATGGCTTCCTTTGTTTCCTGCAGGGCTGGCACTTGCGCTGCAGCACCATGGTGGTAAGGACGCTGTCCCCGTGTCCTGTCCCCGTCCCCGTTCTGCCCCCACTCCAGAGCCAGGCCAGCTCTCTGGCTGAGCAGTGCCTGGCACCCTCACCCTGCCTTGGCCCTGGGTCAGGGATCACTGGTCCCATACAGTTCAGAGGCCTCTCAGTTGCCTGCTGTTTGTGGCACTCTCTGTGTGCTGGGGTGCAGGCCTGAGGACCCGTTCTGACCAGGAGTTCTAAGGCGTTCTTTTCCTTCTGGGACCTCAGCAGCGGGGGACCTCAGCATAGCTTTGGCGGGGGGGTCTGTGGAGGGTGATGTTACAGTGAGTGGCCTGGTCTCTCGGGCTGTGTCCACACTGCTCTCCGGAAGCTGAGCTCCATCCCCTCCCTTGGCCTCTGCCAGCTGACGCGTGCTCTCCCTTGCCAGGTGCTGCCCATAAACTGGTGTGTTATTTCACCAGCTGGGCACACAACCGGCCTGGCCCCGCCTCGGTCTGGCCCCATGACCTGGACCCCTTTCTCTGCACCCACCTGGTATTTGCCTTTGCTTCAATGAACGACCATCAGCTGGTGGCTAAGGACCTCCAGGACGAGAAAATTCTCTACCCGGAGTTCAACAAGCTCAAGGAGAGGTGTGTCCGTATTGAACTCGGGGGTCGAGTTCTCAGGCTTCACAGGTGGAAGAGAATCAGGCTTTTCTCCTCTTCTTTTCAGTGTTCCTCCGACTCTTCGGGTCCCACCCTCCCCTCAGGCAGGACTCCGGAACATCCGGGAGTTGGGGACTCCCTGTTGACAGACACCCCGAACTCATTCTTGCCCCCTCCCTTTGTGGTTGCTCTTGCTTCTCCCTGGAATGTCCTTCTTCCTCTTCTCCACCTAGTTGCCCCTAACTCACCCTTCAGGGCCAGTGGTGAGGATTTCACACATTAATTGTGCTAAAGTGCTTTGGAGAGGGCCTGCCCATCACAGATGCGTCACAGATGCTGGCATTTTTATTGCCGCTTGTCACCTGCAACCCCCAAGCTGTGAACCCCCAAGGGCAGGGGCAGTGTCTGCTCCGTCTTTGGCTCCTGGAGGCTAGGCCGGTGCCTGGCGTAGCACTGGCGCTCAGTAAGCACGGTGTGAGTTGTCCTTCCTGCACGGCTCCTGGGTTCTCTCTCTGTCCCTGCGTGGATAAGCACAGGGGGGCAGACAAGAAAACCCATATCCCTACATTACGAGGCCCCTGAGAGCAGGGAGGAGCTTGAGCATCTTGCTGGCTGTTGAATTTCAAGCACCGAAAGCACTCCATGGTACATAGTAATCGCTCAGGGAATACTTGTTGATTAAGAAAACAAGTGAAGAGAGCGTTTCAGCCTACGTTTTTCTTTTCCTTTCCACGGGGTCAGTATGGGAGGGGGGGAACCTGCGTGGACTTCAGACAGCCTGGGGCTTCCTGGGGCGCGGTACCTGTGGGTCGATTACTCCTCTCTTCTCCTTTGTGCCCCTTTCCTGTGCTCTGCTCTGCTCCTTCCCTCTCACCGCCTACTTCCCATTGGTCCCCCCAATGAATGACAGGAACAGCGGAGACTGCAGCTGCCCACTGGTGTGTGGACCCAGCTGGCTGACTCTCTCTCACATCACAGGAACCGCAGACTGAAAACTCTGCTGTCCGTCGGGGGCTGGAACTTTGGCACATCCAGGTGAGACTGTGCTGTCCCCATCTTCTCTCTGGGGTGGGGGGCAATGGCAGCTGGGAGGGTGGAGCAGGCAGGCTGGCAGTGAAGACAGGGTGGGGAAGCAGGGTGCGGAGAGAAACACTAGTACAGACCCTTGCCCCTGAGCCCCTCTCCCCGCTCGGGTCCTGACCTGGCCCTGCATTCAAGGGCCCCCCTGGTCTCTCCTCTGTGGTGAGGGAGAGAGACAGGGAAGGTCCCGCAGAGATCAGAAAGGGCCAGTGGGGGGTGAATGAGGGACAAAATGGGGTCCTCACAATGGTCCCCACAACCCTTCATAGGAGGCAGGGGTTCTGTTTAGGACAAGAAGATGAAACCCCAAACCTCACAGGTCCTGGGTTTCCTCACTTTATAAATGGTTGTTTATAAATATCCACCTTGCCTTGGAGGATGGAGCTTCAGGGGAGGGCAACCTGGTGGCCTGGGATTGTAAGGCCGTTTCTGGGCAGGACAGTAGAGGGAGGACAGACTGTGGGTAAGAGCTGGCCCCGCCCCTCCCAGGCCCCGCCCCTCCCAGGCACCACCCCTCCAAGACCCCGCCCCTCCCTCCAGGGCTGTGTGCAGAGGAGGGCCTGGGGGCTTTACACACACCAGCCCCGGAATACACAGAAGAGGCTCACAGAGGGCTTCTTTGTATTGCACATTTGCCGAAAAGAAAGCAAGAGTGAGAGGTATTAAGGAACTTGCCAAATTGCACATAGGTGTCCCTCAGCAATCACCCGGCTGGGAGGTGGCAGACAGATCAGGGAACCCAGGACGGCCTCACTCTGAACCTGGTGAAGTGTTTAATCCCTGCACACAGAACTAGCCAAGCATCGCTTCCAGTTCAAATCCAATAACTTACAAATTTTCCAATAACATAGAAAAAACAAACAAAAAAAAAATCAAGCAGCTGATGAATGAAAAAGCAAAGAGGCCAGAACCCCTATCAGAGGCTGGGCCTCTTACACCATCTAGCAGCCCAGGCCCAGATTAGCTCAGAGACCTTTGAGGAAATGCTGGCCCTCGCTCGGCTGGGGCTCCCTCCCTTAGTTCAGTCAGGGACAGTGTCAGCGCCTGGACAAGTGGAGGGACTGTGCGAGCAGAGGGCCTGGCCTGTGGGCCCTGTACCTTCTGCAGCCTTTGAGACGGAGCCCGCTTCCCATGCCAGGCTGGGGCTTATCGGTGCCTCGGGCCCAGGGCCAGGTCAAGGTTTCTGCACCTCCTCCCTGCTGCCCGGATGCCCCATTCCTGGGTACTTGGCCCCTGGTGCTGGGAGCAGATCTAACGAAGGTCTGAGAGCTTCAAAGACCGGCCTTCCTCTCCTCCAGCCACATCTCTGTGCTTCACAGGATGAGGACCCGGGGCCCTGTGGGAGGTCGTGGTGTGCAGGGAGTGCTCCTGGCCTCAGCCCGGGTCTCCCTGCAGGTTCACTGCCATGTTGTCCACATCCGCCACCCGGGAGAGGTTCATCAGTTCAGCTATATCCCTCCTGAGGACTCACGGCTTCGATGGTCTGGACCTCTGCTTCTTGTACCCGGGACTGAGAGGCAGTCCCATGCATGACCGGTGGAATTTTCTCTTCCTGATTCAAGTAAGCCCTTTCTGGCAGCTCCCAGGTCTGGAAATGATTCTACTTCTATCATATATGGGCTCGTGGCATGGGAAGAGCAAGCAGGAGGCCAAGGGCAAGGGCAGGAGACAGCAATAACAATGTTCTTTTCCTGCCATCAGCCTAGAGGTGCTGGGCCAAAGAGCTGCTGCACAGGCCTCCCAGGGCAGCTTCCCGGGTGCCCACAGGCAGGCGGTCTGCACTCTGCTCCTGAGCCTGCCTGCCTCCCCTCTCTTAAATTGCTGACCACATTGGCTCGTGCCTGCCTTTTTAAAGGGCCTGTGGGCAGGGCCCGTGTCAGGGCCTGAGTCTGGCTCACCTTCATGTTTCCAGAGCCTGGCTCAAGGGGCTCCTCACATGAAGGGTTCCTGGAGGGCTCCCCTTTCCCTGACTGTGCTGTCTGGTTGCTTCTCATCCCTGCAGGAGCTGCTATGGGCCTTCCAGAAGGAGGCACAGCTCACCTTTCGCCCGAGGCTGTTGCTGTCTGCAGCTGTCTCTGGGGACCCACAAGTCATCCAAAAAGCTTACGATGTGCGCAGCCTAGGAAGGTGAGCGGGGGGCCGCCTTGGAGCGCAGAACCTCAGAGGGCAGGAGGCCTCTCACGCTCAGAACCCCAGAGCCGCCCAGACCCCACCCTACAGCCTCCTGCGAGCCTGCCTTGTGGGGGATGGGCTGAGGAGCGTGGTGGGACAGGGACAGGGTCCCTTAGACCCCAGGCTTTCTTTAGGAGTCAGAGGGAGGGGAGGCAGCACCAGTCCCCACAACACCGTCTTGGGTAGTCTCCTGTGTAGCCCACTGAGAGGCATTCCAGGAGGGGGCCCACGGGCCTGGCCTCTGCTGTCCCAGAGGGGACATTTGACATTTGGCCGGTGACTGGCATTGAGAGGCAGCTGAATCACCAACCAGTGGCACATAATCAGGCACAAGAGTGCCCATTTGGGCCCAGTTTTCAGGGCCCAATATGCAAAAGTTCCAAAGCCAGACAATGAAAAGCTCATAACTCCTTCTGGCCAGGCTGGCTCTGGACTAATTTGCTCAAATTTGAAGTTAAGTATTTACAGATGGATGCTGAACAAAGGCAGGACGGGGTGCTCCTGTGTGTGGTTACGCCAGGGAGAGGTTTCAATGTGAGCGGGGCAGAGAGAGGCCCTGTGGGGCAGGGCTGGGGGTGTCCTGCCTTCACCCCCTGGGGAACCGTAGGCCAGTCACTTAGCCCGGCCAAGTCTCAGTTCCTGCAGCTTTAACACGGAGACAGCTGTGGTAGGTATTGGCCGGATTGAAATTCAATGAGAGAATCCATGGAAACTCTCATTCCAGCGAACTGGTAAGTGCTCAAGTACCCTTCGTCACTGTGGCAGCTTCCTGGATGATGGGGGTTTCGATGGTTCCTTGAGTGGCAGAGGGACAGAAGCTCTTTGACTGCTGGGGGACAGTGCCACTTTGCTTCTGACAACTTGAGCAGACCTCCGGAGGGCCTTGGTGTCCCAGCGTGGCACCTCCCTGTTTCCACGGATACGCTCAGGGTGGCACAGGTCCTGAGGTGCAGGTGTCCCTAACCAGCAGTCTGTTCTAGTGGCAGCGTCTAAAGTGAATGGCACAGCTGGGCCGGCCCCTCAGGCAGAAACGGCAGGGGAGCTTGGGTGGCCAGCGCACAGCTAGTTAGTTAGTTAGCTAGTTAGCTAGTTAGCTAGTTAGCTAGTCAGCTAGTCATCTAGTTAGCACTGTGACAAGCTGACTAGCCGGTCCACACCTTCTAAAATGCCCCCCTCCCACCCTTGACAGACTCCTGGACTTCATCAGTGTCTTGACGTACGACTTACACGGAAGCTGGGAGAAGTTCACGGGACACAACAGCCCCCTGTACTCTCTGCTTGGAGACCCCAAATCTTCGGTAAGGGACGGAAGCTCTCAGACGCAGCCTGGACATCTGCCCCCAAGCCTGCGCTGCAGTGACGGGGGGTCTGTTCTTCCTCTGTGCAGGCGCACGCCATGAGTTACTGGCGAGAGTGGGGGGCCCCCTCGGAGAAGCTCCTCATGGGGTTCCCCACCTACGGGCGGACGTTTCACCTCCGCCACGCCTCTGAGAATTGGCTGCGGGCCGAAGCTCTGGGACCTGCGCCTCCGGGGAAGTACACCAAGCAGCCGGGTTTCTTGGCTTATTATGAGGTGACAGGAACGGGAACTCCCATCAGTTGCTTAAGGCCCACCCACCTGTAGCCTGGGCCAGAGCAAGGACAGGGCAAAGGCAAGGGTGAGGGTGGAGACGGGGCCAAGAAGTAGTTTACTGGGCAGGGGAAATCCACTCTCTGGGATAGTTCCTTTCTCTTCAGGGGAAGTGATTTGAGTCCTTTGCAAGGGATGAGGTGCCAGGTGGAATCTGAATAGAGGGGGACAGATACTTCACCCCTTAAAAGACTTTGACATGTAATATAAGTCAATCCTGACTTACTCTATGGCCTAAATGAAAATTGTTAATATTTGCTATCTATCTACATATCTATATATAATTTTAAACATTTGCAAAAGTAAAAGAACAGTGTCATTTCCCTTCCCCTCCCCCATGGCCACCCCTCGCCCTGCCTCATTGGTTCACCCCTCCTGGCCCACCTCGTTCCACCTCCGCTCCCTGACCCTCTCCCTCCCCACCGGGAGACTGTTTTGAGGCAATTCCAAGACCACCCTCTAGTACAGATTCTCAGCAAAGCTCGCGATTTTTGTAGAGGAAACACACAAAGAACCAAGGTGGTGTAACACCCAGGAGAAGACAGTGAGAGGCCCAGAGTGGGCGGCGGCAGGGTCTAGATGGTAGCAGGTAGATGCTGAGCAGAGCTTCGAAGTGCAGGTAGAGCCCTGATGGGGGGGAATGAGAAGATGGGGCTGCCCTCGCAGGCGGAGGGCAGCAGATACAAAGTCGGGGTGCCAGGTGGAGGGGCCAGCGTCACTCCAGTCTTTGCTCCGCGCCGACCTGAAGGAATGTTTTTCTGCTAACCCAATGACGCATAGTGATGAAAGAGAACACAGAGAAATAACGTCCTTGGAGGGCCTTGTGGGTCAAAGAGATTTTGAAAGAACTTTTAAAGAACCAACAAACCCCGCAGAGACTTCGATACTAACTTCTGCAGCCCAGCTCAAACACCTCCGCTTGCAGGGAGACACTGGGCCCAGTTGCGTGACCGATTGCAATGACCTGCTTCTCTTTGCCTTCGGGAAATTTAAATTCCTAAGATTCAAAAGCTAGTTTGAGAACCACCTCGATGGGGCAGTTTATACCAACTGCTAATGAACAGAAGGGAGATTTGCTCACGAAAACCCTTTGGAAAAGATGTAGTTTTGGTCCAGGGTCAGGCGTGCCCCGGCGAGGACTTCGCTCCTGGCATTATTTACCAAACCCAGGCTGGGTTTCCCACGGAAGTCACTCACTCCTTGGTGCTGGCCACTTTTTCCATCGTGGACGTTGGAGGAAGGGATGTGGGATGGGAGGGTTTATTCAGAACAGAGGGAGGTTTGTCTGCAAGTGGCTCCCCCGCTTCTGGCCTGGTCCCCCTTGTCCTCGCTCCCTGGTGAGGGACTCCGGATTCTTTATTCCTGGGCAACGGGCAGGGCATCTGCGGCCGCTTCTCCCCGTGGCCCTTCGCAGAACTGACTCAGATCCTCCTGGCAGATTTGCTCCTTCCTCCGGGGGGCGAAGAAGGAGTGGATCCATCATCAGTCCGTCCCTTACGCCTACAGGGGGGAGGAGTGGCTTGGCTACGATGATGCCACGAGCTTCAGATACAAGGTGAGCCCTCCGTTCTTCTAGATCCGGCCTACAGTTTCCCTCTGGCTACCACGAGGCCCTCGTCTGTCCTGGGTGTGTGTGTGTGTGTGTGTGTGTGTGTGTGTACACTGAGTGGAGGATAAAAAGGCGAGTGTGAGTTTCAGGTGTCGTACCTGAACTAAATAAGGTCTCCGAATCCCACCTGGTGCAACCCTCTTATTTGGAAGAAAAGGAATCTCAGTCGGTCAAGATCCCACAGTTGGTAAGTGGCAGAGGCTAGATTCCAACACAGGCTGACCTTGACCTTCCTGCCTGACCTTCCCCCTGACCTTCTTCCCTCCTGGGAGTCCACCTTCTGTTCTGGGCCATGGGGCCAGCCTGGAGGGCGGCCGGGACAGTGGGTTGATGGACCACTCTCTCCCCAGGCACTGTACATCAAGAAAGAGCACTTTGGGGGAGCCATGGTGTGGACCTTGGACCTGGACGACGTCAGGGGTACTTTCTGTGGCACGGGCCCTTTCCCCCTTGTCTGTGTGTTACGTCACCTCCTGCGGCAGGCTGGTAAGTGGCTGCGACCTGGCAGCTGGGGTCGTGAGCTGTATAAGCGGCTGCACTGGGTGCGTCCCTCCTGTCAGACCTAAAGGCTTCGGTGAGGCAACAGGACACCGAGAGAAGGGGACGAGCTTTGATTTTTCCCAGGCCCATCTGTGTTCCCGGCTCAGTCTGGGTGCGTGTCCTTTGCCCTCTGTGGGCTTGGCCACCTGTGTCCCTCCTGTGGGAGCCGTCCTTAGACTGGGGACAAGCCGCAGCCACCCAATGAGATGCGGAAGGGAAACTGGCCACACTCCTAGTTAGCGCTCAGTGAACATTAGTTTATTTCTCTGCATTTTTCTCTCCTGTCTTCCTGACCCGAGGGCCAGAAAGAGAATTTGATTTCTTTTGAATCTTTTGGGTGCTTCCCCCAGCAGTCAGGCAGGGGACCTGGCACACTGGGGCTGACAGTTTACAAGGCTCATTGTATGAATGAGGAGATAGGGCTCAGAACAGGAAGGCAGCTGCCAGGGCAGAGACGGGACTGCACCCAATTCTGTAAGACTCGCTGTCCCGCTGTCCCGTCCAGAGCAGCCGCCTTGGCCTCGGGCTGTTCCTGGTGTCTCCTGCAATTTGGGGCACAGTCGGTTTCTCCTCTGCAGCGAGTAAGGAGTTAGGCCCTGGGGACACGGCCTGCTGAAGGGGCCTTCACAGAGACCAAAGCGAGGGCCTGAGGATAGAGACCTGGCAGGCGCCTTCCTGGGGTCCTTCACCGGAACGCAGCCAATCCACTGAGGGCCCGTGGGTGCCCGGGGTTGCGTGCACGTGACGAGTTGGGGGAGCAGGGCCTCTGTGTGGTGGGATTTCACCTACGCCCTCAAGTGGGTGTCTATGAGATCCTCCAGTTCTGGATTCTGAGGATAGGGACTTCGGTCCTAGAGCGGCGCTGGCCCTGCCAGGAATTATGGGATGGGAAGGAAGAGGCGGGAGATGTCATCCTTTTTTGATGATTTTCTGTAGAGTACAGCTCAACAATTTTACTACAGTTTTGGATCTCATCTGCTATGAATTCCTCAAGAACCAGCTCTGGAAGGCTGACTGAGACTGGGGTGCTGCCCACTGATTCGAGGGGGCTGCTCCCACGGGGCAGGGGTGCAGCCACTGAGACCCAGAGAAAGGCTGAAACCGTGACGACACTCCCCGGAGGCAGGATGGCGAGCCCTGCCAGGGGGGCTACACCCTTTGTGAAGCCCAGTGTGGTTCTACAAGGGAAGACAGAGACCCCTGCGGAAGGGATCGTGACCCCCACGGAAGAGATCGTGACCCCCTCGGAAGGGATCGTGACCCCCTCGGAAGAGATCGTGACCCCCACGGAAGGGATCGTGACCCCCTCGGAAGGGATCGTGACCCCCTCGGAAGAGATCGTGACCCCCTCGGAAGGGATCGTGACCCCCTCGGAAGGAATCGTGACCCCCTCGGAAGAGATTGTGACCCCCACGGAAGAGATCGTGACCCCTGTGGCCCCTGAGTAGATGGCCCTGGCCCCCATGCATCTTCAGACTGAGACCTCTGGAGGGAAGGTCGCAGTCTGTGGAAGGAAGGCCGTGGCACCTGCTAAGAGGACTGTCCCCTTGCAGGGACGGCAGTCACCCGATGGGAGGACTTTGACATCTGAGGGGACACTGACCCCTGATAGGTTGCTTTGGTCTTTAGATGGAAGCTAAGAAAAGATTTCAACACTGTAGCCTGTCATCAAGCCCCCAGGACACACGTCTCTTGTTTTTGACAACCTCTTGTTTGCCACGGACGGAAAGCATCTGTCAACTCGATGTCCCTTCCAAGTCTTCCCTCTCTGTCTAAAGAAAGAAAACCTAGAAAACTTCTGTGGATCGAGGAGCCTAAGCTCTGTTGGCGGCAGATGCTGGGGAGAGCCCTGGTCTTTCCTCAACAGAAGCCATCTGTCCCCAGCCATTCACGGGGCAAAGCAGGCCCCAAAGCCACAAAGAGCTGATTTCTTTCTATCGAATAAACTAGAAACAAAGAATCCATCTCAGTTCTCTGAAGTTCTTTCTTTCTTTCTTTCTTTCTTTCTTTCTTTCTTTCTTTCTTTCTTTCTTTCTTTCCTTTTTTCTTTGAATTGATTGGGGTGACTTTGGTTAATAAAAATTACATAGGTCTCAGGGGTACAATTCTACACCCCAACACAACACCATCTACATATTATATTGTGTGTTCACCACCCAAGCCTGAAGTTTTTTTCTTGCGGTGATCTGTGCAACCAAATTCCAGCTTCTCCTTTTCAAGGCCACTTCCCCTACTGCTAATTTTGGGGAGAGGGTGTGTATCTCGTCCACAGGATGGTTCTGCTCCATGCTTCTCTCTCTGCCACGGACAATCTCTCACGTCACTGTGGGTCAGAATCAGAATCTCTTCTGGAGTTTTCCATCACCCTTGAGGGAGGCTGGGAGCAGGAGGGAGAAGTGGAATCTTCCAGTTATGTTCCCTGCTTGTTGAAACCTTAGTTGTCTCTGGAAAGATCCCCCCACTTGTCCTTCCCACAGGCAGTGGTTGAGAGGGAGGAAAACACAACGCACTTCTGTGTGACCTGCACGCTTCTCCCAGGTCTCCTCCGGACTTGTCGGTTCTCACTGACTCCACCCAGCAGTCTGCCCTCGAGGGACTTCCTGCCCCAGCGGACCCTCATAAGTCAGTATAGACACAGGCCCAGTTTCTAGCCCCACCTTCTAGGAGACAGTGATGCTCAGAGTGGGATTCATGCCTATCAGTGATGTTACCTTTTTTTTTTTTAAATCCTCACCTGAGAACACACTTACACAAGAGAAGGGAGAGAGAACCATCAATGTCAGAGAGAGAAACATCGATCAGTTGCCTCCTGCCCGAACCCCAACCAAACCCGCAACTTAGGCATGTGCCTGGACTAGGAATTAAACCTGAGACCCTTTGGTCTACAGGACGATGCTCCAATCAACTGAGCCACACTGGCCAGGGCTGATGTTACTGTGTCTTTTGGAAGTGCAGCCTCCAGGTCTTTAAGATACGAGTCTCGAATTAAAATGCCCTTGAGGCCAGGCACCTCTCCAAAACAACTGGAACAGGTGAAGGATGCACCCACACACGTGCGAGTTCATGGCCACAGGCCCATGGTGTCATAGCACGAGTCACGAATCGGTTAAACTGCACAACAAGCCAACCCCAAAACGTAGTGACTCACAAAACAGGCTGCACAGGGAATGCCTAGAATGAGCCCTGTGGTGTTGGAACTGGGTGTTTCAGTACAAAATCGTGGTTCCAACAGTACACAGACAGGTCACCTGAAAACGTGGCATGGAGACACAGTAGGCATCGCATGAATGTGTCCCTGGCTGGGACCACCAAGAGGGCCTGGAAGCAGCGGCATCTCAGGAGCAGGAGGCCCGAGGAAGGGCACGATCTTGATTCCTAAATTTCGTTCGTTCCGATAAAAGAAACTGGGGACCGGAATATCTTGTTCCCAGAAACTAAGGCAGTCCTACAAAACGATAAGACCATGTCAGAGGGACACAAGAGCCACCTTGAAGGAGTTCCCAACAGCCAAAAGTGGGGCAGTCTGAGCAACAAGATAACGATAATAATGGGTTATAACCCATAGACTGAAGTACACACCCCGAGTTCACGTGCTATTGGTGAATAATTGAATGAACAAATGGGGAAGAAGGGGCAGCTGCTCCTAACGACAGACTAGAAGTTAATAAACATAGAAGCAAGAGTCCAGGGTGCTGACAAAGAGGCAAGAGGCCAGAGGCACAGCTGTGGGATGGGGGAAGCCCTGGGAAGCACCCACCTGCAAGGTGACTATTTGGCTGATTGACTTGGGCAGGAGGGGGCGGCCGCAGGCACCAACAGGCATCACTAATAAATGAGCCTGGTTGTCTACACTGGGAAAGTGAGTAGAGAGGTTTCTCACATTTACTTATTTACTTACGTATTTTAATGTTTTGCAGTTGTTCCAATTATTTCCCCCTCTGCCCCCCTCCACCCAGCCTGCCCCACTTCCATAGTCCATGTCCATATCCATGTCCATGGGTCTTACAAACATGGTCCTTGACTAGCTCTTCTACCTTTCAACTTTCTCACTTTTCATTTTCAAAACTGCTTTGGCAAGTGAGGAATACTGCCACCAGGTGGCAGCAGCACACAGGGCTATGTGTTTTACATAGATGGGAAGAAAACTTGGAGTACAAAAAAAAGCAATCCGAATATCTTTTTACAAAAAAGGGGGAGTCAAGTATAAATTTCTCTATTGCTATTATTGTTAAAGTTGATAGTTTCGTGCACACTGAAGCAAACAGAACTTGTTCGCACCAGGCTGGAAAGAGGAGGCTGTGGTTAGGTCGAGGTTGAGATCGGAGAAACCAGATGTAAAGTCCCCGCTCTGCCCTTTATGAACTGTGTGGTCACGGGGCAGTTAAATCAGCAGTGGGGACAAGAAGTGTGTGCCTGGGACAAAGACGATGCTCAGTGCATGTGAGTTATTGTTATAAGCATATCCATAGTAGCCCTGAAGTTTCCCTTGAAAAATTTATTCCACATGTATACAAGAAACATTAAACTACACACATGAAACTGGAAACTTCTTTTGGTCTGTGCATAGTTTAGTGACTTGGAGGGCAGATTCGTGACAAAGTTTCAGTAACTTCTCTTCTGCCAGCTACAATTTTACAGAGAGAATCATGTTGGTAACTGGCCTTTCCCCTGATGCTTCTAAAGGGCCCGCCTTACCATCTGGGCACACTATACTGCAGGGATTCTAACCATGGTGAGTTGTGATCAGTTATGAGGCATGTCGTAAGTAACCTGGTAGGGTAACAGTTAAACTACCAAACACTACTCCTTTACTGAGCGTTGTAGACGCAAGAGTATTCCTATTTTAGTGTTACCATCCTTTCCATTTCAAATGGTTTCTTGAGTAGGAAACAATTTCAAAGTTGCAGTTAATATGAGGAGAATCGGGCAGATGCATGCTGGGAATTGCTCTCCGGCTCAGCTCTCATCATGTTCTCTGCATTCATTGCACAGATTCGCTCTTGAACCCCTCCCTCCTGCCTCCAATGGCTTTTCTGCTTCCTGTACCTCTCCATCTAGCAGCCTGCAAGGCCCTGACTCAAATGCTGCCTCTTCTGGGCAGCCTTTCCCGCCCCTCCAGGAGCTCACATCCCCTCTCCCTGCTCGCTTTATGAGGACCTCATTCAACACACACTTGAGCCTAGAGTAGTACATTGCCTCATAGTTTCAGCATGCACCAATCATTTTAGCAGGCACACAGCTATTTGCATTCAAGGGCCATTTCTTAATTACCTCTGCACTCCCAGAGCTTAGTTAGGAAGTGAGCATGGAGTAGGCGTTCAATAAATGTTGGCTAATTTGTGAACTGAGACGTTGAAATGCAAGAGCAGACTGTCATGGGCTCTGAGAATCACATATGGAAAGCTGTAGATGAGGCTGGTCAGAGGCAGAGGCAGGAAAGAAGTGGAGAGTAGACTGCCAATCTCAAAAAAGCACATGCCCTTTGGAGGCAGGAGCAAACGGTTCCGTTGTTCTGGCAGAAGTTGCCAGGTGCATTTCCCAGTAGACACAGGCACGGGGAACTTTTGTCCCCAGCACACTTTACATTTGTTATCATGTCCTAATCTTTAGATTCCATCAGCAGAACCATTAACTGCTTTTTAAATAGACCACAGAGTGGATTTTAAAGACCTTCATGCATGCCAAAGGGAAGGGCAAACAGTCCCCAGATGTGTAGGGGAACAGGCTGTTACAGAGGTAGAAAAGCCCACATGCCTCAAGATTAAAAGCACAGGGAGATTAGGGTGTAAGAGAGGGACCTGACCTCCATCTGTGTGTCCCAACACGGGTCTGTCACTATGTCCTGAGTGTTGGGGGGCAGTTGAAAATCAGCACCATGAAGACCCTGGTCTTGGTCTTGGTTTTTCTACACCTCTCGGAGGGTGTGGAAAGGTGTGTATTGGGATTTGGCCTCATTGTGAGTTCCAGCACCAAGGGAGCCAGACAAGATGGGGAAGAACAAAGGGCTTCCTCTACAGGTCTCTTGGAGAGGTCAGATTGTCTCTTGGTACCACGAACTGAGCCCCAACTGGGGGCCAAGACTTGAAATGGATGGATAGATGATGTGTGTGCATGTTTAAGGGTGGGTTGGGTGTTTTGTTGGCTAAGAAGGATGAACCATCCCTGTCTTGAGCTTAGAGGACAGACTGGGAAGAGACAGACGTTTATTCTCTGGAAATAATATAGAAGCGCAAAACCCCTCAAATATTATGTAGTGCATTTCTATGCTGGGAACTCCAGAATGAATGTGGTGGTCAGAACTCGCTAAAATCCAGGAGGATTTCCTGTTAACAGCTGCCTCCGGAATTGAGTACAGGAGAGGTTTGAAAACTCCAGGTCAGATCATTGAAGAGGTGGCTTGAGTGGGGCAAGGAGAATCTTGTCCCTCTTTTTCACCCTATGTCTGCAG